CCCCCAATTCGCACATGCTCTTTCAGAATATGGGGTCAAATTTAACCCATGACCTTCACATGACCTTGTAAGAGCATTTTTACACCTATTTTGCAGGGGAATCCTCCGCCACTGGCTTTAGCCAGTTGCAGTCTAGTTATTATTATTATTATTATAGTGATTCTTTCCGCGCATTTTTTTTCGCAAAAAATCTGAAATAATTATCATAGGTAGCCCATGGTAAGAATATGCCACAGACCCAGTTTCAGTGACCTTGGCCTACTTTTCAAGGTCACAGGGGCTTTTAAAGGCAAAATTTGTAAAATTTGAAATTGCCATTAGGCCTAAAGTATAAGCCATATGGCTAAGGGCCTTATGGCATATGATACTGAGCCAAATCCACAGATAATGACCTACTTTTATGCAAGTAGGTCAAGGTGAAGGTCGCTCATGGCCAAACATGCTCAAAAAGGTTTGTTTCCAAGATCTCCACAACCGGATATCCCAGAGCCCCAATCTTAGTGGCAAATGATGCCCTATATATTTATCTAAGGTTAGCCTTACTTTGGTAGCGATTGCCTAATTACTTTCTTTAATATCGATTTTTAAATATTTATGACATCGCAGAAATCTTGAGTTTGGCAATTTCTCCATGAAACACTGGTTTTTGGTCATAGCATGCTATAGTAAACTACCCCAAACATATACCCAAAAACCCCAAATCAAATGTCAAATTTGACCTTGACCCTCATTTTCAAGGTCATTTGGCTATTTCATGGAGAAATATTGAAGTGGGCTAAAAGTGATGTTTTGTTGACCCCCCCCCCCCCAATTCGCATATGCTCTTTCAGAATATGGGATCAAATTTAACCCATGACCTTCACATGACCTTGTAAGAGCATTTCCGCACATATTTTGCAGGGGAATCCTCTGCCACTGGCTTTAGCCAGTTGCAGTCTAGTTTATTTTATTTTTTATTTTTTATTTATTTATTTTTTACATTTACTTAATTCTAGATTTCTCAATTATATTTTTAAGTTTTAAGTAGAAGAAAGACCAACAAACTTGTGTATATTTAAAAACCAGTTTATTACAGAGTAGTATCTTGAAATCATACATTTTCTTTTAAGTACATGTTCTCTTTGGCCACATTCACATCGAGTTGAGCCATGGCTCTACAAAGCCACAACCTAAATATGGCAGACATACATGAAAGAAAAAACGCCTAATCTTTTAATAGTTTCTCTGCCTCTCACACGCCTCCCCATGCGTCGTCCCTGCGGGGGGGGACAGTCATTAAATCTCAGCTCCTTTGGGATGATACATGGGGAGGCGTGTGAGAGGCGGAGAGACTATTAAAAGATTAGGCAGTTTTCCTGTCATGTACCTCCGCCATATTTAGGTCGCTTTGAAGAGCCATGGCTCAGCCCGATGTGAATGCGGCTATTGAATAACTGTGATCAGGAAATACAAGTTTTGGCATCATTGCATTTTCTATAGTCATTACTTTTCAATGCTTTAGATCTGTCATACTTTATGTAGCGATTAAGGATTCTCCTTCTAGCTCTTAACTTGAATGCAAGTGTCTTATTGTGATTCACTCTCATTTGCATCTGTTTTTCATCTTTTTCCAGATATTTAAAGACTGAAGAAGTTGGCACAATACCAACAGAGGCCATCTTACTCAAAGTGAATAGTTTAAGTCCATTATTCCTTAAGTGGATTGCACTGCAAAGTTCCAAGAAAAGGTGACATCTTTATTATTAGTTTTCTGAAATGTCCGGTTTAATTAAAGACTCCACTTTTTGTGTGTTGGTACTAATTAAGTTTTGTTAATTCAATTGCCTTTGGGCCCAGTGTATAATTTAGGCACTGTCTCAAGATTTGCATGTCTTCAGTGTTGCTAAAGTCTAGTTTGCCTTTCTCAGGGAAAATTGTTTCTGAGCCACCTTTACATACATAAGAGTACTTTAAACAATTTTCACAATCACTATTGTAACAGCTAACAATATAGTCAATAACATAACTTGGTGCTCTTTTTATCAACTCTGTGTCCCCTTGATTTGCTCTAAAGCAAGCATCAAATTCAGAATAGCAGCGCATTGCTATGCACTGAGCAAAGCATTTTTGCATTTTGTCATCTAGTGTTTTTTTTTTGTTTTTTTTTTGCTGGAAACACTTGACCAGAAGATGGTGCTTTTTCTATTTTTATGTACAGACACAGATGTGTCTGTACATATTGCCATCATCTGCGTCTGTCGTCGCCGTCGCCGATGCCGATGCCGCGCCGTGCACTTTCCTTGTAAACACGATAAGTGGAACACAGTTTTACTTTTTGGCTTTATATTTACAGAGCTGATGAATATTCATAAAACGCAGTTATGCTGTTTTTTCACTTTTCAGCATATATGCAACACTGTAAACACATTTAAAGGAAAACCAATAGGCCTGTTGTATTGAAACTTACAGGAGTACTCAATCTTACTAAAATGCAGGTCAAGTTCAAAAATCGGCATGATCGGGCCACTATTTTAGTACTTATGCTGTTTTTTCATTTTTCAGCATATATGCAACACTGTAAACACAATATAAGAACAAGGCAGCAAAGCTGTCAAATGTACAGACAAAAAACAGAAAATAAAGATGCAAAATAGGCCATTTTGTCAATTTTGATGCAATAATAAATAATGCTTATAATAACACAGTCAGTTAACACCGATTTTTAATCATGCACAACAGGTAACATGGTCAATAACAGGAGAAGATCCAGAGATATTTTCTGACAGTATTCCAAAGTATCTTTGTTGATCCATCCTCCACTTTTGATGGTCTTCCAACAGAAAAAAATTGATACCAGTCAATGTAAACTTTAAAATCTGACCGTCATCTGAAAGACCCAGAAGACGGCCTCATTCCACCCCTGCAATAAGATTACAGTTTCTGGACTATGAGAGTTCAAATTCACAGAATAAAAATAATAATAATATAATAATATATTTATTTCAAGTCTAAAATCCATAAAATGTTCAATAGACTGTACAACATGAAATACAAAGAAGTTTATAGATAAAAATGGTTAAGATATATTTTACATAAATAAGAGCTAAACTAACTTAATTGTAATAAACAGTAATTAAAAGTAAATAATCCAAGGTTTCTTTAAAATTATAAAATTTAAGATTCGTGAANCACAAAAATTTTATCAGCTGTGTTATGTTGTAAAAATGAAGTCATTTTTCTTCAGCCAACAGCTTAATATTGAAAAAGTTTTTACCTCCAATATTTCATTGTCTAGCAGAACATCTTCATCAGGGAATGAGGCTATGAGGTCTTTCTGCAGAAACCTAGCATTGTCAAGATTTTGGCAAGTGCCAAGTTAGGGTGGCACACTGAGTGTTGTGACAGCTACAGTGAAAACCTCTTTAGCAAAGTCTCTTGGAAATACCTTCCTCTGAACTATTTCAACAATTTCATTTGTCGCTTGAGTGATTTCGTCCACTGTTAGAGGTCCTGTTCTAACTTCAGCACGATTTCGCAGTAAAGACTTAAAACATTGTATCCAAGCTATGGTCTTTTGTAGCTTGTACAACTGTGAGTATCTGTTCATCACTTCTTCCAGCTTATTTTCTACAGTCTGAGATGCAGAAATCTGACAAAAACACAGCCAAATTTGTGCTGTTTTCACTTTCTTGTCATCACTTGGTACATCACCAAAGATATCTGGTCTCTTAGGCCATTCTCGCTCTGGCTTCCACAGAAATTCTGGTCCTTTCAGCCACGTCTGGGTGGCACCTTCATTGGATTGGTCTAGGTAAACTCCAGGTGATGCATAATCTGCTACGTTTTCACCTGAGCTTACATAATGCCACTTTGTCTGCTAAATTCTGTGGCCCTGATGAGCTACAAAGTGACCATTATATGCTTCTTTCAATACATTCTGCCACTATCACTGTGAGACTTACTGAAGACTGACTAAGACAGTGCCAGGTACCAAACATCTGAGACCTCAGAGGACACAGCCATGAGCTACTTCACCCAAGACCAGGATGGTCAGTTTGCTGGTCAAGCGGCCCGAGTGACCAGAGAACAGCTGGACAGAAATGTCTCTGTTCAGATTTCACCTTTTGGTTATAGTTAGTATACCCACCCATGGCACCAAGGTTTGAAAAAAAAATTATGTATTTGGCTTATCTAGCTGTCAGATTGGCATTGGGATTGTATTGATTTATTTTGGTTAAATATAATAAGCTGTCTTTTACATTTAAGAGTTCATACTGGACGTGAGCACCTCTACTGGGATCATGCTGGACCCTGTTTACACTGGAAAGGCAGTGAGAGGGCTGGTCAGGGAGTTGACCACTCAGCCAGGCAGGTTCAAGGGAACAAGGATCCTGTTTCTTCATACTGGTTTGTTTATTGCTAATATATTCTTACTATTGACAGAATTTTTAGAGCATAGCTGATTTAGAAAATTAACTGTTTTTGGGGCTGCTAGGTTTAAATATGACTTACTTTTCTTTCAGCTTATGTGTATTAGTGTGCTTTTGTGATAAGTTTCATTGCTGTTTCAGAGTTTATTTATATCATTGTGTATTCTCACTTCTGACACATATTCAACATGCTGATCACAAAAGAATCAATCAAAAATATGCAAAGCTTAAAATAAACTTTTGACATGAACGTCAACATCATTATGTGCCAAGATTTGATGAAAAGATCTTTTTATTAAAAGAAAGTACCCAGCTTTACTTTGTTGCTTACCAAAGAATTTCACCCAACAACTAATAAATTTCCAGGAGGCGTCTTTGGCTTATTTGATGGACGAATGGCTGGTACTTTGAAGGTTGATAAAAGAACAAGTAAAATCAAGCTGTGGAGATCCTGACGGAGGTCTAGAGAAGATGCCATATTGGTATTGAAACGAGAAGTTTGGCAGTTGGACAAGTAGGAAAAATTATCATTCCAGGCATTATTTGCATTCTTATGGTGTTATAGATATATACAGGCAAAAGATTTGCCTGATTTTTACCAGAATTGTATTTCAAAATTCAGTGCATGGTTTATGTTTCTGATTGCAAAGAAATGGTACAAACAGTGAAGCCATTTTTATGGCTATATGTCCAAAAAAAATGTTATATTGATCATGTTAGCAGGTATCTGTCATAGACATTGTCTACTTCTGGAAGTTATGTATTTATGCTTCAAAAAAGGTAAAAATCCTTGTATCCTATTGCTTAAGATTGAATTAAGTTTGAGATATAATTTTGTTTAATACTTCTGATTTAGCTAAAACAAAATGTATGCCTACTTCGTTGCATGTTAATGCAGCGTCAGCCTTGCCATCCCATCTTACAGTGCCTAAAAGAAAAGGGAGTATCACAAATACGAGAGAAAACTGATCAGTTTTTCTGCAGTTTTCTTTTTTTCTTATTTCAAAAGTACATTGTCTAAAAGAAATGGGAATATCACAAATAGGAGAGAAAACTGATTAGTTTTTCTGCAGTTTTTTTTTCTTATTACAAAAGTTTTTATTTAGTTTTAATATAATAGATGCTTGAATGGGTGTAGGTTTCCTGAATGTGAACCAAAGGCTAGGTTGCTTGCAGGCACATGTTGTGCAGTCACCTCAACATGATAAGTTGCTGCTATTTATACACACTAAAGGTGTATGGGTACTGGAACTGTTTCACGTACATGTTGCAGCAATGTTTTTTTCTGCTTGAGTTTTGAATTGATCATTAAGAGTTCTTTCTCTCTATCTCTTGGGGCCATTGGCCTCATATCTTTCTGCTCATCGACCTGTGACACAAAATTTTCTCCCACTAATTCTCCAACATTCATCATTTTCACATTTCCACTATCCATAAGCCGACCTGCAACATGAAGTAAGGGATCCAAAATCCGGCCGGTCAATTCGTCCCATTCTAGTTTACCAAATTTCTTACACCAGGAAGGGGATTCTTAATCCTGCAAAGCCAAGGCAATCAAAACACTGTCGAAAAAAAAGTCCAGGACTGTATTTGGATCATTTCGGGTCTATTAATATACTTTTTGCATTTTTTTTTTTTTTTGGTTTATTGCACTCATTGACCCCAATTTAAGAAATGTTGCACATATGCAACGCTGGGCTTTAGTGATAACAAAGGATACATGTTTCAGACATTTATTGACCTAAAATATGTTCCTAAAACACAATTCACAACACAACTAAACTAAGTTTTTACAGATTTATGGTTTCCATCGATTCATAAAATGAATTAAAAACAACTGAGCAGTTCTATGTCTCCAAGTTTTACCTTCAAATCACCAATCACAAGAGATTCAAATTGCGAATTGGACTGTACTTTACTTATAGAAACATCTATCTGTAGCAATATAAAACAATCTCGACTATCACAATACATCATCACACCTCTTTTATACCACTAACACTTCCTAAATTCTTACTTCTGTGATGTCTGCTGTGTGAAATAAACTACACACTCCAAGTGGCACTGCCTATTATTGAGTGGGGGTGTGTGGATTGTACTAAGAGCAGGGGTGTAAGGTGTCTGTCCTTTATACTTGGAGAGAGTCCCTCTCCCTCCTCTCAGCCCAGCGGAGATCCCTGTCTCTCTGCCTCTACTTGCCACTGTTGGTTTGCATTTTGGACAAGCCCCAGTATCATTCGGCATCTTACTCCTGTATGGGAGACTTCATCACCAAAGACAACTTTGGCAATGCTGCGAGGAATGCAGTTACGATCTGCAGCAACAGCAACAGGGTAGAGATGTTGAGGGACGGAGTTTGGGCGCAGATTAAGTGCCTCACTGTCAACAAAGTCTGAAACTTCAAGCACGGTCTTTGGCCAAACTTGTGGAATGGGAAAATCTGAGATTTTGGTTCTATTTAACAAAGTTGTTCCTACTCCTTGTAGGTGCCACATTCAGACATTCCATGGGACAGATTGTCAAAATAGGCACGTCGTGCCTGCGGCGCCTCAGGTGTCTCTGGTTGATCATGACTGGTTTCCTGCCGAGGTGATGTGGCTGGCTCAGGTGCAGGATGGGAAGAGCAAGGCACATCTGTTGTTCTGGCTTTCAATTTTACTATGTCCCACTCGATACCAGAACTGCAGTATTCAGGCTTGTTTATCAAGCATGAGTGACAGAAGCATGACAGTCTCCTTGTGGCTAGAACATTTTCTTGAATGCTCTTAATACTGTGGAGCTTCCTGGTCCCGGGCAGAGTCTTTAAGGACGCTGATGATATTGTATGGTCAACATCCCCTGAGTTGATAATTCTAAAAGACTGTCTTGTATGGCAACAGCCGTGGTTCTGCTCCACGGTTAGAGTGTAATTCTCTGTGCAATGTGTGTACATATCACTGGTACTCTGTATAATTGTACCTGTGAGAAATTTTGCCATATTATGATTTTTTGTAGTCAGACCACGTAAGGGATTGAAGAAGTAGGTCTTGCGGGTGGTCAAGGAAAATTTCTGTGCAATCTATGATACAACGGAGATTTTTGTATTTTGGATAAAAAATTTGTGGAAGGTTGGAATGAATGAATTCTTTAGGAGGATAAAAAATGAATGGTTTCAAACAAAAAGATAGCACTTAAATCCAAACATTGAGGGTTTTAGAACACACTGAGGGACTAATTTTAACATGGTCTGCCAAATCTTGGGAAAGGAGGGCAAGTTGTACTTTCATTAAAACTAACAAAAACTCGTCTTTTAATTGAATTTTTCTTTTGGGGCCATGTTTCTTGGGTGAAATTCCAAACTTGTCAGGCTTTAAAGTAAGCAAAGTGATTTTAACTCAAAGTTGCTCAAAACAATATTATTAATGATAACATTGTCAATGTTAAGATATTCAAATCGTATTATAGTCCATCTTTCATCCGTGCAACAAAGTAAATTTCATCTGCCAATACCAATGACTACCGAGTTCATGATCCTCTGATGAAACCTTAACAGAAGATAGAATGTTCTCCAAAGTGAAACAAAGTCAACAAAGAATTCAGAATCTCAGGCTTAGGCTTAGGCTCCATACCATTTCCATAACTGTATATTTTAACAAAATTAATGTCCTCAGAACATTTATCTGGTAATATTACTAGTCCGTCACTTAATACATATTTCATCAGTTACCATATATTTCTCATATTTAATGTCAATATCAGGAAATACAAAAATCCATTCACCAACTGGATCCACAGTTTTTCCTCGAATTCACCAGTTCCACATGAATGAACATCACCATGACGTTTACGTTAAAGCGAATTGTCCTTTTCTATCGATCTGCAATACCAACACACCAATCCTGGAGTCATATACCACGGCAAATGAACAGATTTCATATGACATCCAAGATGTCTTTTCAAGTTAGTACTGGACACCAGACACAATCCACACTGAACTTCTTTCCTCTGTTTCTTCCTGCACTTTGAGTGGGCAACTTCCTCCCCCTCTTCACCAATTAGGACAGTAGGATCTTCCACCATATCTTTGTCATCATAATCAGGGACAAAATAGGCTTCATCTAGCATGTCTAAATCATCCATATCTGAAATAAACTAATTACATGGTTTATTTTCTGGAATAAAAATGACATGATAATGATCTTTTATTTCAAATGAAAGTTACATGGTTTATTTTCTGGAATAAAAATGACATGATAATGATCTTTTATTTCAAATGAAAGTTAACAGTATTACGTTAATAACATAGTATTACATCACTAACATAGTATTACAGCCTTGCCGCATTTACTATGTACACCTATTATTCAAACATAAACTAATTCAAATTACTTTTATAATAAATTTCTATGGAATATTTTATCATGAACCTAGCTCTGCTACCATTATACAATAAGAAAAGAATTGTTACCTCAACAATTCCTAATCCGACTACATGCAAAACTATAATCTAAAAAATATGAAAGTAGGTGTTCATTGCATCTGATCAACAACAAAATTCAAACAGATATTTAGAAAACATATACCAACTTGGACTGTTGATTTGATCAAGTTACCTGAAATATAATATGAAGTACAAACTATCAGATACTTTATGAATATCTCTTTATTTTGTCATATGTCTCTCTTAATAATTGTTAAGTTTATGTCTTAAATAATAGATTAGTTTAAGGCATTCTTACTTTGGTTTTTTATTTTCATATTGTTCCAGGTTCTCTATTATCCAGTCATAGCCTTTTTCAACCAGTATTCCCTCTTTCCACATTTTTCCAAGATATATCAAAGTTTTTGACTCCCATAACGCAGTCACTTCCAAATTTCTTATGGCATAATAATATAAAGTTTCTGGATTTTCAATCCATTCTCTAGACCATGGAAATTCTTTCCTNAGTTTATGTCTTAAATAATAGATTAGTTTAAGGCATTCTTACTTTGGTTTTTTATTTTCATATTGTTCCAGGTTCTCTATTATCCAGTCATAGCCTTTTTCAACCAGTATTCCCTCTTTCCACATTTTTCCAAGATATATCAAAGTTTTTGACTCCCATAACGCAGTCACTTCCAAATTTCTTATGGCATAATAATATAAAGTTTCTGGATTTTCAATCCATTCTCTAGACCATGGAAATTCTTTCCTCTTTTAATATTTGCAACATATTGGTTTCATTCATAATCTAAATAAAAATACAAATAATTAAATTCCTTTTATTTTAGCACTGCCGAAAATTAAAGGAAGTATTAATATACAACTATATCTTAACTAATTAACAACATATACATCAACATAATCATTCTAAGGTAAAATCTCTTAAATGAGATGGCATCTTAATTTGTCTACCAAATCTTGATCTTTTTACAATTGGTTCCACCAGCTGTGATAGTAGTAACATCCGTACTATAAGTAACAAAAGAATTTCATTTTTTTCTATTGTTATGTCATTTGAACAATGGAAAACCTATAGCGAACAATGGGGGATGTTTACAAAATAAACAAACAATTTTTTAAGTAAACAAACAAGACTCCCTATTTTTGTTTACGTTTTACTATGGTAACGGATGACGTCACAGAACGGGCCTGGGCTTGATATTAAAACAGTAGGAGATTTTAAAGAATTACTAAGGATAAAGGGCATAATATAGTGACAAACAAGTATAGTTGTAAATAAAAACATGATTTTATTAAAATCTTCCAGCATTGTAAGAAGTTGATTATAGTGATTTAACAGTTGTATGTACACATTAAAACAATGGACATAAATGTCTATTTTACTGAAAGATAATAATTATGATACATAATTGCATTACAAGTTGATTATAGTGAATTAACAGTTGTATATACAGATTAAAACACCAAAACAATGTATGTACAACAAAATGAAAGATGATAATTATATAAACAACACTACTCAGCAGTTTATGAAATTTAATAGCCGTATGGTAGTGTATCAAATTAGTCTTGCTGAATGACACGTTTAGTGTACACAACCCGGTAAACTTTATCCTCCCTTTTAGAGAGCAGTTCTTTATTCAGAGTGTCTCTCACAATTTTATGGTGTGTAGTGGTTGACACCTCTTTCGGACCTATACCGTGTACCATGTTACGCAAAGTCTCATAGTTCACTATTTGGGAGGTTTCATAATTCAGTGAAATACCCCTCACTTTACAAATTGTCTTTCCCTTTGCGGTAACGTATGCGTAGTTTTTAGGGCCGCCCGACACGAAGGTGGTGATGTGGTCCCCCTCATCCAACTCGTCGGTGAAGTCGCCGAAGTAGCTACCCATGATGGTATTCAGGTAGGCGTTGGTTTGTGCACTGCCATCGTCCAGGAAGATGATTGAGTCCGTGTCAAAGTAAAGAACGTTTCGATCCAGGACCTCTATGGCGCTGTAAAGAACCATACGAGCGTGGGCGGTGGTGTACGCGGCTATGACGACGTTGGTCTTATCGGAGCATTCATTAAACTCAGATTGGTGTTTGTAGTGTACCTCCACCATATCATCGGTTAAAAACATCACGTTGGTTACATCGATGGATTTGTTCAACAGCAGCGCAAAGTACTCGTCCACCTCGGTGACGTATTCGGACTGTGTCATGTTCATTCATTGACCGAATTTGCCTGAAATAACAAAAATAAAAAATAATAACATAACTATGATAGTAAGGATAGTGAAAATGCACGAATGAGAAGTACTGTAATATTGTATGATGTGAATAAACAATGTGTAAACATAATAACGCATCAAGGACAGATGTAATATGCAAATGTACGTACTTTGTTATTACTGATATTTACAGTGAGTGGTAAATACAAATATTGGAATCTTGCGTGAACCGCCGACATAGTGTATGTAATAAATGAATGCTAACTCTGTTTATACGTACCCCAAAAACTGTTAAGCATCAGTTTAGACAAAGCTTTAAGACCTGGGTTCTTCTTAATTTGTCTAGGGTCTAGTCGAATGCCCTCTTTGGTGAAGTAGGAAGCAATGTAGTCTCTTTTCAGCTGTGGTGTCGTGCAATCTGGTGGGTGGCCGCTGGCCTCTTGTTTGAGCTTGAGAAATGTATTGATATAGTCAGAGAAAAGACCCCCCGTTTTTGTGATTGGGTTGTATTCGCTAACATGATCATAATGCCAGACCTCGTGCATTTGTTTAATCACATAGCCCTTGGAAACAGCCTTTTTTAACTCGACCGTAACCCATGTACCTGTCATACAACGCTCTTCGTCACTATGCTCACACCGCGTCTGCTGCAGTGTGTCAGCGCATGTGTGACAAAGAGGAAATGTTAGTTTCCCTTGTGATCTATAGGGAAGGACAGGATGATAAAGGCCGCGAGGAGGAAGAATAGTACATTTGACTAAACCTTCATACTCGCTAAGAGGACCAAAGTTTTCGGTTATGATGGTGGGGTGACAGAGGGGGTATGGTTTCTATTTGTTGACATAGGGATATAGACTACACACGTCAATGTAACGTATTTTCTGTCCCTGATCTGCCTGACAAAAAAGCTTGACTGCGTTTGTCCTGCCCCCGTAAAAGGCTTCACGAGGATCAATACAATCGACAACGTTCACGCTATCCACTATTTCTTTCACGCCAGCATCCTCCCGTATGACCCTGTCAAACTCACACTCCCATACCTCTATGTAGTTGAAACCTAAAGATTGAAGCGCATGCTTCACAGTGTTCTCAATAATTTTTTTAAAATCCGAGTCCATGGGACTCACATGTTTGACAAAATGTGAGTCCCATGTAAATTTTCCGAGTCCTTCTCTTGAAGAAGAAAAAAAAATAAGTACCATTTAGAATTGCACAAATGTGTTTATTGAAATACATGTAACAGGTCAAAATTATGTAAAAATATAGCAAAATAAAAATATAACATCTTACAAAACATCTTTTTAAAAATAAAATTCTGCAGACTCATTGTACCAGGACTAGTCTACTAGAGAACGAAACTCAGTAAGTTTCTGTCAAATAAAACCAGTACTTTTCTGTTTTAGAAATAGAAAAGAGAAAGAAGTTCTGGCTTTTCCACCTACAACAGTCTGGACATAAATAATCAATTTTTTGAAAATTGCAATGTCGCAACTTTCATCCACTTGAATGCCTATGTATTTACTTTTCTCTATGGCATTTTTCATGTCATCCTCAATAGTATCTGACAGACACTGAACCATTTCATTTACCACTCCAGCTGACGTATAGTGTCCCTTCATTGACTGAAGTAGGCAAAGGTCCGGGTAGAGATTTAGAGCCAAGTTATGAGATACCAAAAAGTACACAGTTTTCATCTGATGACCGAGGTTGTCATCTGTTTTTTGTTCCGCTGTGGATATAGCCCGCTGTAGAGCTGACTGGCCCTTAAGAGTAGAAGCCGCTTGCTTATGTTGTTCGGACTGCACGTGTCGAACAAGTGTAGATCTCTGGTAATCACTGCATCCCGGATCAGTTGTAAAAACGTTACTCTTCTTGGCACGTTTACAAATGGAGCAAAACATAAAAGTTGTCCGTGACATAAAGCCAGTCTTTAAAACTGGGATCTTCCAGCCAGGTTTTGTTGAAAGTCCGGATCTTTTTTTAGCATGGGACTGCGCCATTTTGAGACATTACAACCACCTGCATTCGGCACACCTCGGGTCTTTTTCGTCAGGTATAACCTCGGCCGTAATGAGCGCCATTTTGCGTATTGCGTCATTCGGTAGATGGCGCACTAAGTGACGTGACAGGCCCAGCAAACTGCCAAACACGGTGTGTTTTTGTAAATTAATACACTAGTTTCACCAATCACATCACTCATTCTGTATAATTTCCGTGGTCACTAAGATAATCATCCCTTTCAGTTGTTTTTTTTATCTCTCCCACTAATCACCCGCCTAAACAGGACCGCATTTTTTTTCGTCCCTGGGACGAAAGGGTGTTGATTATTTTACGTCCTTTTTAATTTCATTGCGTTTTTTACATATTGGGACGCCGTAAATAAGAACACTGCTTCTTATCCACCGTCCTTTCTAGCAACTCACCCATTGTTATCAAACTGACATTGTTGATATTGTAACTGTTGTAACATTTTGGACACCCATGCCAAAAACGCCCCTGATACTCGTAGACAGTGTTAGTTGTTGACGCCCAACCATCAACGACAAACTTTCCTATTTTCTTTTCTCCCTGATTATGAGCATGCTGTATAAAGACATTGTCACGCTCCGCCCTATACCGCTCTCTCGCACCGGTAGACATTGAATCAGAGCCATAAAAATTAGTGGCGGGCATTTTACCCCTATAGTCTTGGTTTTCAGGGGTATTAAAGAAGTGGGGGAAGTAGCCCTTTGACAGGGATTCATCTAGACCAAATGCAGCGGGAAGTTTGTTGAGTGCCATGGGGAGGAAGCTGTAAGAATCAAGAACGGTTATATCGCCCACCTTAATAGAAAGCACCTTGGCGCCTCGTAATATCACATCGGGAACGATACATTGGTCTTTGAGCCATTTTAAGAGGAAAAAACCATCATAACCAGACATGTTGTGTGCCAACAATATAGCCCCATTATGTATGATCATATCCTCCTCGTTATTCTCACATTCATACTCATCACCATCAAAACATGACGATGTTCCAGGATTCATTCGTTTACTGCGACCTCCTTTGTTTTTTCCTTTCCTTTTCCTTTTACCTTGTGCACGTTCAAAACTCTGATCTTCAAATACCCATTTGCAAAATTCATCAACACACGAGGGCCCCTTAAACACATGTTCATTTTTGCCACATAGCTCACATGTACTAGTGGGGGTTACGTCTAAATTTAGACAGTGATGACATACCCTGTGAGCAACCACTAGATTAGGGGTATGAACATGCGATGGCTGCGCTTCAAAATCAAAAAATATGAAAGGGCGTTTTGAACCAGGTTTGAACTTACCAATGAAATTGGCAGCAGGATTCTCATCGATATACATAAGTAAATCGTCATCATCCACATCACGGTCATCTCTATCAATTTGCATGTAACATAAGTGACCGTCTTTGACGTACTTATTACATGACTTGCACTTGTAAGTGTAACACACATGTTTATTCTCCCTTTTATGATCGACAAATTTAGTGCACTTTTTACAAAGAGTAAATCGTCGGCAGGTTGACCACCTACCTTGTTCGGGTACAAGTGTATGATTTCTAAAACAGCTGTCAGAGAGGAAATTTCTGCTACACTGATCGCAATGACGCCATGTTTCAAACTTGCATGACGAATCCCTTTTACACCTCTCGCAATATTTTTCGCACGAATGGTCACCCATGTGATCAAAACCTATATTGCATTCCGTACAATAGTAGGCCCTACCCATGAAACCTGTTATCGACGTTATGACATCATAATGCCCCTTATGGTAAAATAAAAACAGTTCCTTCAAAGCTGAAGGCCCTTTATGAATTAAACTCATAAAGTGATCTCCAGAAAACACAGATATTTGATAATTACTCAAATATGACTGAAACTGTTTAATTTCAGGGACACCACAAGGACCTAACGGTACTCCAGCTCTTGTATGCAAGTCTTGGGCTCTTTCTAATTGTTCACGACAGCGCTTATTAACGATTGTTGCATATTCGGGGTCATTATCTGCTTTGGCCATAGCTACAACCAATGCACGCGCTAAGCACAACTGATCTCCCGCCCCGTTATGTATTTGGATGACTGAACGCTTTGCGTGGAGAAAGCTCTGCATACCCATAGACCCTCGTTTTAATCTTGCTCCACCAGGGCGTGGCATACTGACATGACACACAGTTAAAATAATAGATGCGTCAAGTCTTAACTCCTCGTGAGACTGTAATACTCTTATCAATTCGTCCAAAAAGAGATCCACTGTAAATTCAGATACCCTCGTGAACGCTATTGATATGGGATACTCTAACGTGTCAGATTGCAAGACAATTCTGACCAAATCATGAGGAAGCATGTTCTGCACTAAGTCGTCAAATATGTTTTGGAAAAGCTCACGTAGGAAGGGGATCATAGAATTTAAACTTCTATTTTCTAAATGGGAGAACGTGAGCTGATAGTCCGTGTTTACAGTAGAAAATTTTTTCATGCGCCGTTCATTGACTCGTCGCAGATTATAAAACCTTCTATAATCTACCCCCATCCCGAGTTCACCTTCGAACTGATCTACATGATTTACTAGCTGATCGTCTGTTACATTTGAATCATCCCATAACTCATCACCACTCTCATGCTCCGCATTCAATAAATCATCCTCATTACTCATGTCTTCCCATAAATTAGAAACGGACCCCTCAGACGTTGTGTCACCCATGACAAAATAGTGTTAAAGGCACATGTAATAAAAGGAGGGTAATGTAAGGGGTGAGGGTAAGGGAATCTCAAGCTCAAGAAATAGCCACTGTGCGTGATACCTATAAAGATAAAAAATCAAATCAGTCCCCCCGTTTTCAGACAGCTAAACATTTTAGACACAATATTAACGATACTATACAAAAGTTTAAACGTGAATTAAATTACGTACATTGACTGAATGTTCAGTAACTTACATGTTGTGTGCTCCTACACTGTCTCTCCAT